TACGCTGTAACCAGCGTCATCCTGGTCCTAGTGCCATTGTATTCTAGACCTGTGAACCGGTCCCATTACACAGCGTGATTATTAGTTAGTGATTAAAAAGCGGTAACTGAACTCTTCACTAAACTATCTATCCTAATATGGTTTGTCATTTTATATTTTACTAGACTCCCGTGATCCGCCTTCCCAATCGATTAACTACGTTTGCTTACATTTTTGACCTCACTATTAGACATACTATTCGATAGACTGAGTTATTTTCCCGAATTAGATTTACTGGATACCTCAGTCTACAAAGCTTCTCTCTGACTGGTCTTGCAGGATAAGATACCACACTGAAACTAACATTGTGAAGAATCGTACATGGATTTGAGTTCCTTTAAACATTTTGTAATTACTACTAACTTTGTTATTATTCTTTCTTATATGAATCTGTATAGACGTTTTAATCAACTCTGGAGGGTAAAATTTAAATAATTTTCCTTCCATGTTTCTGATTTCCTTGTTTAGATATTCTGCCTTACTTGTCCGATGCCTAGCTCTGTTACTCAAGAGTTGTAACAAGCCTACGTTGGTAGATTTAAATTGAGACGATGTGAAATTAAAGTATCCATTCGAATGGGTTGGTTTCCTACAAACACTGGTAGCTAAGCTGCCATATTCTATTCTCATGGTTTTGCAACCCAACGTAGCTTCATTTTCAAATTCATAAGTGAGTTGATATACATATACTAATCGGTTAATTTTCTGTGAAGAAACTGTGGATGTATTGGAATTTCAACACAGTAAATAAGTCCCCTGTATATCATTAGTCTACTGTCAGAGTGGGTTGAGATGTTACTAATGTAAGCTGTTCTGAAACCGAAAGAAAATTATTGGGAACATCTGGTTTCATGAAGGCTTTCTTTTAGTTGTATACGGAAATAATTTCCGAGTAGGAATGATAAGCCTTTCTTCAATCTGACCCAATGATTGTATTTAATTCTCTCCCTTACCTGTACATTAAAATCAAGTGTTCTTGCATCTTGTGAGAACTTACTGTAGACATATTCAGAGGTGTTTGTGAATCTGTTTTGAATGTTTTCGAATGGTGTAACCCCCTACATATTGTGTGTAAACCTACCTGTAACGACAACATGAGGTCAGCCAAGTTAGTTCTCTATGTGGCTAGCTTAATCATCATGATCATGGAGCGAAGCGATTGATCCTAACAACCCACGCACAACCAAGTTGATAAATGTAGTGATCTGTCAAAGAGTACAAACAGCTCTGTTTCAACCACCAAAGTTCAATAAAAAATGATCAGATAAATGTAATAGGTTACCTTGAGATCATAAATGTGCTCATCACTAAAAGAATTCTGAGTATGAGTGAGGACAGACCGATTTTAGAACATATCGTGCTAGCTTATACTACTATGGGAATATATATTTTATGTATTTACGGTGTTGCAGTCAAACTGTGAACGATTGATTCTGTATGAGATGGTGAGTAAAATACGATCAGTGTTTGTGTCACCTACAGGACCACCGTGAATTATAATGGTGGCGACAAGAAGTGACTTATCAACACCAGCGTAGTATTGCTGCGTAGTGGTATGAACTATTTGACCCAAAAGTCGATTAGATCTGCACCACACGTATTATGCTTACATCTGATATAAAGCTTTATCTTCACAACGGCCAAATTTAATTAATTCTGATCATTTTAACAACTATTTGTACACACTTTGTGTGTTGGTTGAGTAAGATAAAATGGAAAGAGGTTTATCATACAGTTCTTAATTATTCACATATTTCTTTTTCTAATATAAAATCAGTATTATCATACACAGTGATGATATATTCACCTGATGACTGAAGCAATTTGTTATTTCACTGTTTCCACACGTTCAGGCCCGTTAGTGAAATCAGAATGCCAAAATGAGGCTTGAATTAAAATATAATATTTATTTAAATGTGTGTCTAGACAACTGCAACTGAATGATATTCAACTGTTTTCGTTATGCTTAATTGTTTGTTATTGGTTATTCAGATGAAACCAATGAAGAGAGTTCATAAACACTAAAATTTCATTCTGTGATGCCAAATAACAGAATTAAGCTTCTTTATATTGAGAAGGGAGCGACCTCTTACTTGACTGCATCGGTAGAGCAAGGATTTATTAACGAAGTTTATTCGTCTAGTACTATTTGAAACAAAAATGATGTATTCAGTTTTATTGACATGGTTATATTTTACCGAATTTTTACAATCTGTTCTATCAGTAAAGAAGAAATTAATTGGGGAGTTAGACTATTTTACTGACGAAAAGCACAAACTTTCAGTGCTGGAAAATGAACTTTACAAACAAGTGAGGCGTTTTGGAAATTAATTTTATGTTTTCAGTATAACCACCATCATTACACTCAGTTCATTCGGGTTGACCAATCACTTCCAATTATATTTAATGAATCCAATAAAAGTATCGTCTCCACAGGTGCATCACTGGTAAGCCATACATTTTCATTATAATTTACTACAATGGGCATGCGTAGAAAATAAGAACAATGTTCCCTATGAAGTATTTTGGCATGGAGTATAATTTGGTTCAGGTACACTCTGGAGGTAAAAACGTTTCCGTTGAATGTTGAACTGCAACTGAATATCACATTTAAATTTTATGCTAAATATGATGGAAGTGTAATTCGATTATTTACTGTAATGTATGGATGACATTTCTGGATACAAGAAAATAGCCTTTTGTTGAAAGCAGTTGTGTGGAAATATTTTGCTACGATTTTCCTTCACCGTCCTAATCAGTAAAAACGTTGGTATATTGTAAAAATGAAATCTTGCTCAAAGAACTGCTCTAATTGATACCGGGTGATGACTGAAGATGAAATGAAAATTTGGGCTGTAGAGGACTTGTACGAGTGACTACTAGGTTTCCAAATCCTGCCGTGGCCCAAATTTTCATTTCACCTTCAGTCATCACCGAGTATCAAAGTAAGTCTACTCAACCGTGGCAGTCTCAGACAGTCAAACTGATAATTACTCAAATGGCACTATTGCTTCCATTATCTCATGTAACAGACGGTTGCCTGTTTCGTCAACACGAATAGAGAGTAAGTATGCTACATCACTGAAGTGAACTGCTGTTTAGACTGCTAAGCAATTTAAATATGGATTGTACTTCTGCGCATTAAACTTGATCTTGGTTGTTTTTTATGATGCAAGCAACGTATGTAGTGTTTGTTATATGTATCTCTCAGGTCACAGTTTATTTGAAAGTAGTGTGTGTAGAATTCTCTAGAGGTGAGGGAATTCGCTATTCAGTGTCTCTAGACTTACTGATGTTGTATACTCAAATTGAAATGTAACAAATTCAATTGACGTTTACTTATTTTCCGTCATAGTACCCAGCTTTTTCGTGTGTCTCCTAAGAGCTACCAACAACACTTCATTTTCATAATTTCCTGTAGTTTCTATCTATCTAATCGACGACAGTCTTGTATCCATGGAGAGCTGTGTTATCCTAGATATTATTCACTTTTGTAGCTGATCCACAAACTGATGATTTCGGTGATCATGATTAGCTGTCAATGTGGTCAGACATGAAACGGTTGTACCAGCATCTTTTAGATGTGACCATGATGCATAAACCAGATAGTGGGCTGCATTGAATTACTCGTGTTTTATCAAAATAAGTCCATTTCTGTGAATATACTCCTTGAAGAAGAAGAAAATTTGAACAATATACAACATACATGTTGTTCTACATGAAGTTGTTTTGCCTGGTATCTAAACAAAATTTTACATTGTATCTGCTTCAGTATCTCTTCTTCAAACACTGGTTTCAACTGTCTATTTGTCCCGGAATAATCTTTCCATTTCTGTTGTGTACTCTGCAGTTAAAGATTCTATGCGGTTAATGCTTGTCATCAGGTCAGTTTAAACACACCCTTTCCATTTTCTGTTACTGTACGAAAGGTGTCATCGAAATAGGAGGAACGAATCATCGAACCAATGAGATTAGAATGATTAAACTAATCAGTGGTGTAGAGAAGGACTGTGAAGTAGTGACAATGAATACAGGTAAGTGTATCTTATTTTCTGAGGTAAGGTTTTGTTCCGTGTAGAGTTTTCCTTTCACAGTAACCTTCAATGCATAGGAGGAATGAACGCGTGAGCACCCAACTTGGAGTATGGAGACCTTATTGTCCTACTGGGTCAAAACGCTGACAAGATGCAGGGTCTTCTGAAAGCAGTGAGCAGAAACTTGAGTATGTTCGGCATGCACTTCTTCTCACCTGTCAAATTTAAGACGATGCTCCAGGACTGGTGTACAACGGCTCCTAGCTTAACGATAGAGAACGAAGTGGTGCAATGCATGGACCACTTCTCTTCCTTAAGGAATTTTCACCAGGCTAAACGAACTGGTAGCTCACGAAATCTCATCTCGGAAACAGGAGGCCCGATTAGCATTGCCGGCTTGCGCCATCTGTGGCACTAACTGGCGAGATATACCACTATATATCAAAGGACCAGTAACCTGTGCTACATTTCATTTTATCCTTCTATACCATTGTGAGACAACGCCGTTAAAAGTAGAAGACATTAGAAGATCACAGGATTTTGACTACAGATATCTTCTTAGCACTGCTCGCGTTTGGTGGAATCACCGTGTGAAAAATATTGAAGCCAGGAGAAGGGTACTAGACAAGACAGGTAAGTCGATTGATGAGGTTGTGAACCTTAGTCAACTAAGATGGCTTGGAAATGTATTGCGTGTTCCGTACCATACCACATCTCGACGTACCACACAACAGTAAGTAGAATTAAGTTGGAAGATTGTTCAAGGTTGCCAGATAAAGACCTGGCAACTGTCGCAGAAGTCTACTGCTTCTGGTCTCTTTCATGTGAGGCGATGTAGACTGCCTATCTGGGGTTCATGAGACGAAAGCAATCAGTGGTTGGGGACTCTTGGTGACATGGCTGAAACAGGTCACATTGGAGCATAAATATTCACTATTTGCTATCTTCTAAAGCGCGAGTTTTTGCACTTATTTTCATTTTCAGATTGTTTATCCTCATCGAATACTTTATCTACTTTGATATCATTCTCTTTCTATCCACCTGTTCTTTATGTACTACAGTGAATTATGGCAACTTGGACTGAGTCACCTATGTGCTAGGTTCTATGTTGATTTTGTCAGTCAGTTAGTGAAAAGCTCTGATTTGTATGCAGCTTGTGAAGTTTGTCAAACAAGTCAAATTCTGGTCATCATCGTTTCTGTAAACAAACGGTTATTCAAGCCTATATAATATCACATTCTAGGTGCTTCAAGCCGCTTTCTTTATTTCATCTTTTTAGATGCATTTCTGGCTATCAGATGGAACAATTTAAGTATTACAACTCACATGGCAAAGAAATGGTAGATCGTGGTATGTACAAGTCCTTTTGTTGGGATAAACAATTCACGTTTTAACAGTATAACCTTGAGATTAGGCTCAACCTTAGAAGCTTTTATGTGTCGCTGCAACCCTTACGTGCTGAAAGATTTAAAAGTGTTCATTTCTTATTAAATTTCGAGGAGAATGATGATTACAGCTCCCATAGAAATCGGAAAACTCACTTTCGTTTCTGACTAGACTATTGATAAGAAACCAACGGAAAAACTGAGGATTATATGGTGTTTCAGTATATTTATTCATCACACTGACGGAGCGGTCTTAAGAAATATGAAATTCCGTAGAGGACTTTTTATATTTTTAATAACCCATCTAAAACTGATGTATGATTCGCATTCGATAAATCATGCACAGAGTAATGGTATTTATGATTTCTGTAACTCGTCCTTGATTTTTTAAGATATGATTACCTTCTGTAACACTTAACAAGCACTTAGATTTCGGTTTCATGAGACTGATTTCAATGTTTTTGAAAATCAAGTTAATGTAGATGAGAATATGCAGTCTTATTTGCAATACTAAGTATAGAGTTACAGTCCATATGATGCATTATGATTTTTCTGATTGGCCACCAGATAGCGAATATTCACCACGATACAGTGACTTCATACTTGTGCAGTGAAATCTACGTGTGACTATGATACAGCTTATTCGAAACACTTCTTTTCCTTCGGACGAGACGAAGTATTTTGATGGTCTATTTCAAGTACAAAATTGTAGTCTGGGTTCCAAAAATATCCAAATAATTTGAAGAAATCTTTCCATGTGTCTTGAATCAAAATGCGTACATGCAAACCATCGAAAGAAAGAATTATTTAGAATTCACTTTACTCGGGTCTCTGGGATAGCATCATGTAAGCAGTGTTCTAGCATTTGATGAATGGCGACTTTGTTCCCGTTTTTTCAGTGAATAATCACTAGTTAAACCTCACACCTGAAATATTTTTACCAAAATTTTGGTGAGTGTTTGTTTCCTGTTATCATCCATCGTCATTAGAGAAGAAGAAAGAATGACTATCAGTGGTAAACTTTACGGCACCACTTATCACAAAGAGATTTCCTGGTTTGAGAACCTTATGTCGAAGTGTTCAAGGAAGTGTTGAAGCATATGGACACTATCTCGAGGTTCAAAAGAGGTTTAATCAGTATAGCACTGTTTTCGATTGTGCACTGCCTACAGTCGAATTGATTCGTCTGTAGCTTACTGAGGTGATTCGCAACACCTTAGCAAATGCTACGAGAAAACAGGCTTTTAAAACAGAAAAGTATAATTGGTAATTTCATTTGTTGCTAGGATGCCCTATAAAGCCACTCAAATAAATTTGGAGAAATAATATTTTTCCCAGGTTAAGTACAACTGAAAGATGATTCAAGTTTCTTCAGGACTACTCAGATATTTACTTAAGGTGTTACTAACTAGAAGTTAGCATGTCAGTATATTTTACTTATTATACTACGGAACGATTGAGTCACGAAACAAAAATGAATCCACTCACTGCACTGAACCTTTCTGAGTACTTACTAAACTTAAGGAAATGGTATGTATAGAGTCGATTTATAAAAGACATAACTTCGTTTGCTTACTGTCATCTACACTTCTCTATTTCCAGCAGATATTGTCTGTGTCCTGCATCGTAACGGCAATATATCTATTTATTTTGAGAAGGTAAGCCAAATGTTTATTGAATGATGTTTAACCTGATTTTGCTGGACAAATCACTGCTGCATGCTAATTCAAATTCTCAACATATTCAAACAAGTAAATTACTTTGTCAGGTGCATTCTCTAATACTGGCTGTGCGAAATTAGGACGTTACAATTTTTATTTTTTTGTTATTTAAAATGTTCATCCCAGTTCATAGACCTTGTTAGTCCAGGCAAGACGTAAATACAAATGAAACTGAACAGTCAAAATATTCTGAATTATATCATGAAATAGTGGGAAATATTTTATATCGTCCCGGTAGAGTAGCTACTACGGTCAACCAATAGGCGATGGTGGTTTTCATTAGTATTACTTTGATATTTTTAACAAAGAAAGAAGCATGATAATTGCACAGTGAGAAATCATTTTATTTTAGTTGAATAAATTGATAAACTGAAAAGTAGTGCATTGTCCACTGATACTGCAAAGCGTTGATAAAACCGCTTTTTCCCAATATAAAGATGCCTTTGACTAAACGTGCAGTCAGCATGACCAGTAGGAGTTTTATTTCCAAATAATATACAAATTTCATGGTTTGTCTGGACATTTCTCGAAGATGAGTAGTTTTCCAACTGCCCACCTGCATCATCAACAGGATTTAGGCTCGGGAAATCATTGAGCCGACATCATAAGATGCTACCTATGGAACAGAAGTGCCATAAACAGAAGAAATATATTACTGAACACCCTGAGTGGTTAGAAACTATTCACTTTGAACTATAGATTTAACGAAACCACCGTCTGGTGTTTAGATGATTCTAATATGGTTGGGTAAGTCTACAGATCAGCTTGAGTGGTTTCTAACTATTCAAGTTATTCAGAAGCGCGTTTTTTGAAAAGCTGTCATTCTTTAGTATCTATTGCATTCCCCTTTCGTTTTCTATGTATTTAGTGAGGCTGCTGTTTTGCAGATTCGTTCGCTTGTATGCAGCAACATTAGATTTCATATTGATAAAGCCGAAAGCACCCATTATTGACCTTGGAAAGTGTTGAAACTTTAGTTTGTTAGATTTTATCGAAACTCAGGTTTTAACAAAATGTTTCAGATAAAAATTTAAGAAGCAAGCCGAAAGTAATTCTGTATATCCAACATAATGATTCTATGAAACTTGGTTTTCGTTCTCTCTTATTTGACTCTGATGAAGTGGAGTCTCATCAAGATCGACGCTCAAGTGAAAATTTATTCAATCAAACTTTTGTGCGTGGCGTTTCAATACACAAAACATTATTGTATATGCAGTTACCCGTGGACAGGCTTCATTTGGCTTTCCATTATTGTAACGCAATGACACGTTTTCACGTGATATGAATTGAAGTCAACATGCATGAAATATTTGAGCAGTTGGTTCGACTACTTGCGTGAAATGTGAATGAGATTTGAAGATGAAATTATTGAAAGAGGAAATCTACCGGCAAAATCCAACAAGTTGACAGAAGACGTGAGGCAGAGGAGACGGGAATTTCTTCAGAAGACAGAGGTGATGAAGACACCCAACCCATAACAGCAAG